ACCCATGAGTACGGGTGGCGCGAATTCTCGTTCCGAGATTTTTGCGCTCTGAACAGCTTTCGTAAATATTGCATATTGATTCAATGAATAATAAATTGTTAGTATTCAGTGTTAATTATTGTTAATTGTTCAATGAATAATCATTGAATAGTCAATACGTAATATTTACGAAAGCTATTCAGAGCGCAAAATATCAGGACGCGAATTCGCGTCGCCTATACGCTAGTAAAAACCTTAGACACTTCTTAAAATTACTTTACTAAGATCTTAATAAGGTTTAATGACTCTACTTTCATTCAGCCCTTTGTTTTGCACTCATTCATCTATAACACCGACAATATGAGTGATTTTACGGTTGTTTTTCTTCAGGACTGCTAGTACTTACTCTCTCGAAAGTGTTCAACAACTTTAATGAACTGCTACTTTGAATAATGCGAATCTAAAAAACATGCATGGCTTACAAAGTGAATATCGGTTTTCGCAGTTTCTCCTGATACAATCCGATATGAGCGATTTGCGCTGATATTGTACCGTCCATATCCGGGAAGTAAAATTGCAATAACTTTTCTTATACTAAATAGACTTTCTTTAATTATTTTTGTTTTATTTGTCTAATCTTCGCCCACTACCGTTAAGTGCAATTTTCTATGTAAATAAATCAAAATAATATTGTTACAAGCACATTGGCCTTTTTCTGTCCCATGAGATTGAATCAGGGTTATCACCGATTGCAAAAATTGCAATCGGATTGGATCGGCCGATCAGAAATCGGCATCAGATCGGTAAAAATCGGCTATTTTTTGAAGTTTTTCTAAAAGTAGTAAATGTAGAAGTATACTTCAAAGAATTTCAAAAGCGTCCGCGACGGTATGAGTGAGTTTTCAACGAAACGAGAACTAGCCGTTAAAAGAGAAAATAAGAGTTAAAATAAAACATTAAAATGACAATATCTCTATGAATAAAAAATTACTTTCACTAACTCATTTTGAGATATTTTTCTAAAACGAACACTACCTCTAATGTTTTAAAATGTTTCAATTAATTACTGTAGATGCAGCAACATCTTGCACCGAGCTCCCGAAAGGGTTAAGGTATCCTTAGGAAACGCTGATAAATTATAGTGAAAAGCGCTGCCTGGTTTCTTCCCAGCATTTATCAAAGTAACACATGAAACTGTGGGTTAACACGATCCATGAGGAAATTCCGATATAGTGTGTGCGCTGATAACATTTTATATACTATTTTCTTGGTTTTCGATATGCACAGGTTTTTGCGATGCAATGAGGTCGAAAAACTTGTTGGAAACAGTGAAAAGTTATCAAAACTCCCCGAGCAAATTGCTGGAAATACAATATACGTGCTACAACCAGAACAAAAAATCAAAGGTATGATAACTTGAACTTATGCTGTTTTTTGCTCTGCGATATATGGGTTGCTGTATTATAGATGGTTATAACGTACAGATGGTTATAAATGGGTGAATTACGGGGTTAAAACAGCAAAAGAAAAAGGTATTCCAATATTTTACGCACATTATTTTATATCCGAGAATGATTCGAATAAGAACGATCCATTTATCGAAAAATTTACAAAAAAAGTATATATTGCAATTCAAAACCCGCTGAGTGTGATTGTTCAGTACATTGGTATGTGCTATTTACTGAGTAGAGTTAGGTCTTCTATATACTTATTTTTTTAGGAGATGAAGCGAAAGGCATTGTATCACAAAGAGTAACACCGAAATCGATTTTAAACCTTATTGACGAGAAAGTTCAACATACAGAACCCTCTACTGTTTATTGTCAAATGATTGGCTCAAGTGAAGGTATAACAACTGTTCAAAACAAACGCCAAATCGAATATCGTCGCCATAAATATTTGCAATAATTGAAACTATCACAAGACGAGATGCACAATGTTGATATGATCGGAATCGAAAATAAAACTTTTGTTCATTTGATGTTGATGTTACCTTGCTTTGTTATGGTTTGTGGTCATTTGAAAAGTATCGAAATTTTCAACAAATTACTTCAGATAACAACAACAACCATCTTATTATCATATGACACCATATTTCAGTTAACCGATGGATACGTTAGGTACGTTCTTTGTATCATCTACTTGAGTTCAACTATCGTATAAGGGATTATTATAAAAGTTCTATCTTTATACTCCACATGCCGTATACGGCAGAAGCAGTATACATTGTGTTTCATGATTTTAGTTCATTAATCTATCGTCACAGTGGCTTTGTTAATGCACCATGTATCCCGTTGATGTACATGATACACGAAACAAAAGAAGCTTTATGTCATACTCAATTGGTGCAAACTTTGAAATCACTGGGCGTTAAACTAGGCAAAAATTGCGTTATCGTTACGGATAACGAGAAATCCTTTAAAAGATGTTTCCAGGAGGAATTTCCAGATTTGTTGCAGTTACACTGCTGGAACCATTTATTCAAAAATATTTACAAAAGAACAATCAAAAATCGAAAAAAATCATAGGCTCCAAAGAAAGATGAAGAACAAAACGGTGAACCAGTTGGTAAATATTACGGAAAAGATAAATCAAAACATAACTTTTTCGAAAACTCTTTTCTACTCTTGTAGATACCAATCCACAATTATCAGC